CGGTACTTGTCTGACTGCATTGTGCCAAGTGTAAAGTTTGGTGGAGGGGGGGGGTTATGGTGGGGGGTTGTTTTTCAGGGGTAAGGCTTGGCCCCTTAGTTCCCGTGAGGGAACTCTTAAGGCATCAGCATACCAATACATTTTGGACAATTTCATGCTCCCAACTTGGTGGGAACAGTTTTGGGGTGGCCCCTTCCTGTTCCAACATGACTGCACACCGGTGCACAAAGCAAGGTCCATAAAGACATGGATGAGCGAGTTTGGGGTGCAGGAACTTGACTGGCCTGCAGAGAGTTCTGAGCTCAACCCGATAGAACACCTTTGGGATGAATTAGAGCGGAGACTGCGAGCCAGGCCTTCTCGTCCAATATCAGTACCTGACCTCACAAATGCGCTTCTGGAAGAATGGTCAAACATTCACATAGACACACTCCTAAGAGTTGAAGCTGTTATAGCAGCAAAGGGCCAACTCAATATTGAACCGTACGGACTAAGACTGGGATGCGTGTAAAGGCAGGCGTCCCAATACTTTTGGCAATATAGTGTAGATCTATCCTTGTGATGTCAAACAGATGATACATAAGAGGACATCACTCCAATAAAAGACAGCAAAGTCTACAGCTGGCCATACACTGGTAGATGTAAGTATTTTAAAATCTCGAAATGTTAACATTTCATTAGAACATTCGATAATGCCATCAGAGACTTGTAGAAGTTTAAAATGTTTCCTTTTAAATATTAGATCTTGGAACAAGTTCTCAAACGAAAAAAAAAAACAATCACACAAAAGAAATGAACATGAATCCATATTATGGTGAAACTGCTTTGCAAAAGTTACAAATGACAGGCCCAGGACAACCCTTGCAATGGATATGCAATGCAATTAAGACTCCCATTCTGACATCTTGGTTTTGATATTTTTCTGAGGAATTGGGCTGGTATTAGAAATATATTATAACTGTACACTATATGTAGATGTATTGGACAGAATGAGCAGTGGAGCAGCAAATGCAATGCTTTTATGAAAAGAATAGTAACTCACTAAGACAGGCCAGTTTGAGGTGTGTGCTCAGTAGATGTAAAATAAATGGGCTGTCATTGCCTAACGCACTTTAACGCAAAACATTAAGCTGTGTGCTATTGAAACCAGCCTGAGGGCTCATTCACACCATGTCCGGACCAGATCTGGAAACAAAAGTGCGGCGCATTTGTGAGTGCTTTTTGTGGGAGGGCGGGGGGGCTGTCATTATGCAATGTGTGTGAGTAAGCTGGTGAACAGACATGTTTTATATGTATGCAGGCATATTCTTTGTGATGGCTATTGCAATCTTGAAACAACATACTCACAGGAGACATCGTTTTTGGGTGTACCCACCCTTGAAGCTAAGAGAATCGAAGGGTGAATTTTGGACTTTATACAAGGACTTGCGGGCAGATCCAGGAAAGTTTTTTTTTTTCATTCACTCTTATGTCTATTTGAAGGTAATATGTGTTATTTATCCACAGGCCCCATTTTTTTGAATTCATTCTGTTGAGTTGCGATGCATTTTTGGCACGCTTTTTGCGTTCTATTGCATTCCATGGCCAAGAAAATGTGACCTGCAGTATTTTTCCCTGCATTGGAACAGAGTGCACTGTTGTGAACGGAGCCCATAAATCCCATACAAATATATCGGGATGCATTTTTGGTGCGGAAGAAAAACGTAATGGTCTGGATCTGATCTGGCCATGGTGTGACTAGGCACCCAAGGTTTTAAAACAAAGCTTGTTTTCAATGTATAGTTTTATAATTCATGTTCATTCATCACATGCTGAGCTCACTAAAAAGGTCTATCTGACTGAAAACAGTAGGGTCTCTGCAGTCCCTAATCATGTGAAACACCTGCTATGCACCCAATAGCAGAGACCCTGATACATTTGCGTAGGCTGTAAGTGACATCAACTCAGAGCAGTGTTTTTATTCACTGCAAGAAAGGTGGATTTTATTTACTGCAAGATATATTGTTTGGTAATGCTGATTTATCAAGTTTCCTATTGATTCATGTGAAGTGTGGCTTTTTTGTTTTCCTTTTCCATTTTAAAGACTCTTCTCAATGTAGGGGGGGCATAAGTATTTTGCAAGACCCTGACTACATAACTCAGAAGCCTGTAGTATGTTGTCAGCAGGCAATTAACTATGAAGAGAAATTTTAATTTGAGTGCGTTTACGAGTTGCAGAAAATC